GGTTACCTGCAGCCATGGCTTGTGATTTTGGGCAAAAAAGGTTCAACCCGGGATTTCTTGCGTGCCAGGCAACTGCACACCCGGCATGGAGGATTTTGTAGGTTTCGATTCGGTTTGGATGGAGCTTTGTTGAAAGTCACAGTTCCCGCACAGGTACGCCCACAAGTAACCCTTNNCCCCCCCCCCCCCCCCCCCACCCTTGTGCCGCAGGTCCTTGCCGAGCGAGCGGGGTCCGATGCCATTCCGGCGACGACAGGCCACAAGAGTCGATGAGTTATGTTTGAAATACTGGCAGTATCCCAGTACTAATCTTTCGAAGAGACGCAGTTCTTGAAGGTCGTTGGCGTGGACGCATAGGTTTGGATCCCGAATCAGCTGGACTCAACTACTACAAAGACTTGCAGTCCACGGAACCCAACTTCGAACCAAAGCCGTTTGATGATCTTCTCGAAAGTTCTGCTGTTCAGGTGACGAGAAGATCCTGGCGATCTCGCATGGGCTGTCGGAAGTTGACGTCCTACTGGAGGATGAGGAGGAGAAGTCTGATCCTCATACGTGAGCTGATGAGGAGCAATAACGGCCCATGTACAAGAGCATAGGGTTTGTGGAAAGAAAGGCCTTGGGGTCTAGAGTTGTGGGTGGCGTTTAGAGCATGTATTGAGTTTGAGGGCAAGCGCTGTAACCTGCATGTTCCTTGGTATAGCCTTTGCCAACACCGGCGGCATTGTTGTAGGTTGTCTGTGCAGATGTATGTGTGATTGCTTGCAGCCATGCCTCCACATACACTGGCCCCCGTAGATCTACCTGCAGACAGAAAGCGTCAACGGTTTCCGGCCCAGTTGTCTGGGGTTTCCGGAACGTCGCTTTCACCGTAAACCCCATCCAGACAAGAGGCAACACAAGCCCCAACCTAAACCCAGAACAGTCGAGCCTCCTCGGTTATAGTTCTTTTGCAGCGTGGGAGCTGAAAACCAGTGGCAGGCCTTGTTCCCGTGATGACTCCGCTGGGAAGGCAAGAACAAGCTATAATCATCCCGGCAGAGACCGTATAGTCAACGATCAGCATGAACAGTTGTCAACTACTGCTAGTGGCAGTCATTTCAATAGTAATAATACACTGTAGGTTCCACGTTCGCTTTTTCCATTCCTCCGAGGCCACCCCGGCGGATCCAACTCCATCCGAGGTCCGCCCGAGTCCGTAATTTAAGTCTTAAGGGGATCAGGCCGCTTCGGGCAAAAGGGTCCATGCGGGATATTCGATAATTTTAGGCCGCAGGCATCGGGGATTTTTTTTTTTTTTTTTTTGGGNNGGGGGGGGGGGTGGTACGAGCTTTAGTTTAGTCAGCGCGGGATTTAGATTGCCGGTGGAGGTGCGAAACTTTGATCCAGGCATGACAGATGCCGACTGTCCAATCCCCTAAGGATGTGTTCTATTGGACAACTTCTGTGCTATAGGAAGGAGACCGAGTTCAGGCGTTCCATCATCATTGTTTGACGCGTCTGCATACTCACAGGTGGATCCACGGCTGTGATGCTGATACGGTACGGCTGATGGTGATGCAGAGGATAACGGTGATGGTGCGGGCGGTGACTGTGTTGAAAATGATGACGATGAAGAGGAAGATGACAGCTGTGAGGAGATATCGGTCCTGACGCTGCCGGCAACGATAGCGAGGATGGTGTTGACTATTTGTCATACTGGTGATGGTCGCAAGGACGATGAGGGAAGGGGCGAGCACGCTTCCCTGGCTACCTGCGTACTACGTATCGTTGTCGCTTGATGACAGCAGCTTCTGCCATGAGCATAGTGTGGCTTCCATGCTCGGCCTTGTTGCGGCTGTTTCATTTGTACTGGCTTTGGTCAGTAAATCCCACATGTTGAGCCTTATGCACTGGCGGGGGCCTAGCCGAGGTGGGAGGAGAACTTGTCACTTTCCACAGCTAGGATGACCGCCGTCCAAGCCTGAGGAACATGCAATGCTGGACTTATCTGGACATGGTAAGACCGATGTCGCGACAAGGGCTCGGGATTCAGCATACCCCACAGGGTTTCGGAATGACATTGAACTCGTGCGCCTCATTTGCTGCTTGCAGGATTGAGAGCCTCTGAGACAGGAAATTGGGTCCCTAAGTGTGTCTGTTTCAAGTCAAAGTTATGTTCATCGTATTGGGCTTCAGGTGTGCTGGCTACCGTCCTTCCGCAACACTGAGCGTAACCCGCCTCGCAACATAACCCCATCTCGCCCCAAGCTCCTTCCGGGGCGGGTGGGGCAAAACCCAAATCCCTGAGACCTTACACCCTAAAGAGAACTCATATCGACGAACCCGACTGGTGGTTAGCCAGATCGCTGCTCGGATCACAGTTATTGTCGGCTCCAGGCACGAGGGCTTGAGGATCAAGCTTGGCCAAGCGCCATCGTAAGGTTCAGAAACAGAGTTGGATGCTCCCGAGGATCATTTCGCAGTCTCTCCTGGCCATGAAAGGAAGCACCGTCTTCACCATGAGTAGAAAGGATGAAATGGTCCTGGAGGCCTGGCTTATGGTGACGGAAGGGCCAGTTCTGAAAGCTGATGTAGCTTCGATAAGAAACCTTCTTTGCAAGGCATCTGCACAGGCTCCTTGAGGTTCGAGGGTAAGAGAAAAAATAGTAGATATAGTATCGAGGGTTATAGTATACAACTAGTATAGTAGAGTATGGTATATTTATTTGTAATATACTACTAGTATAGTAGATTATGGTATATATTTCTATGTAAGGTTGAGCGTCTTCGCTCCCTGACGCCATGCCTGCGGCCAAGCGCCCAGCGGCCTCGCCCAAAGAGGCGAGGAAGAAGAACGCCACGGGCGCTGCGCCTGCCGCGGTGGGGGAGCTTAGATCAAAGGAGGTTGTGACGTTGAATTATGTGTCTCCAAGAGGGCGTTTTACATGCCTTCGGCTTTGGGATGCTTCAGGTCTTCTTTGGTGAGGCAAGTTTGGGGACTTGTCGGATGTTTTTGGCATAGAAGAGACGGGAAGGCTGCTCTTGAAGTTGCGCCTATTTACAGCGCACAAGCTCTACAAGAGAGGACCATGAAAGTTTCAAAGGATCGCCTCGGTATGTTGTGGTCTTACCTCTGTTCTCTCGGACCCCGTGGATGAGCCCAGCGTCTCCCTTGAAGCCGTTGGACGTGCGCCTCCAACCGTTGGGTTGCAGAGTCTTGACATCATCTTGGCCACAGCGATGGCGCTTTACCAGACAGATCATGTGCTCTGAGTCAGACAGAGATGTAGAGAGAGACACAACCATAGCCCTGACGAAAGAAAGAGACAAGTAAATCATGTGATATCACGAGATCACGGCACTACTCTCCACAAGCAGCGCTCGCTACTTGTAGCTGCTACTGTATGAACAACAATACAAGTACTTGTGAACATGGGCATGTTGATGACGATCTTCTAACCCGGACAAACTAGAGGAGCACGGCCGGAAGACGTTGAAACCACTCCTCTCGTGGCTGCTGTGCTCTTGCACGGTCTACATAAGTCACTCAAGTGCACTGCTGCAAGACTTCCTGGGCCAGGGCGCCTGCTTGGAAGATGCCACCAATGCCAACGATGCAGTCGTGAGCCTCCGCTTGGCATTGCTCGGAATGACGAGTTGAATGGTTCAAGGTTGGGGCGAAATTGTGTGCTTCAAGCCGATTGTAGTATGTGTTCTGGGGCGGTTTCGCACGAGACTGTTCAAATTTGGGGCAGCCATCTGCTGCTCTATTCTCCTCAAGCTGTACAGATCGAAAAATGAACCTCCAGGTCTTGCTTTCTCAGGATTTAAACTTGAGGTGCCATTCATACACCCTATTGGACCCGACATGTGGTTCGAAGAGGTTTTGCCTTGTGTTTTGGCGAGTTTCGCGAAACTGCTTGGCAGTTTGACTGATGGCTGGCTTGGGCTTTAACATCGTTTGTATTCAGGGGGGGGTCGCTCCTGGAAAAAGCCATCGCGACCCTCAGCCATTCCTGCCCATGAAGCTGGCAACGAGCTCCAAACTGGCTCTGGTTCGTCCCCAATCCTGCCCAGGAAAGTGTTTGCAGCTGTGTCCGAGCCGAACTACGCGGTTCCCTGGGCCTACAAGCCCCAGGACGAAGTCGTTCCAGTGCGGGATGTGCGGCGTCCGAGTTTCTGGAAGACTCTCTGAGTTGGAACTTTCAGGTTCAGTATAGCTTGATCTAGGCGTCGCAAAACTTGGTACTGTAGTAGTATTCCTTTGTACTCCCTATGTGCATACACTATGACTATGACTATGATAGATCCCAAATATTCGGAGCCTACGCAGACCAAGTGTCAGGACAAAGCTTCAAGAAGGTATTGAAGGAGGGCGAGGTGCTTCAGCCACCGAGGGAGACCACTCCGACCTGCCACCATCGAAGAAATCATCCTCAGTTTTGGGTGCAGTTCAAGACCAGGACCCCCGATCCCGAAGCCCCCCTCCAACCTGAGGACGAAAAACGTAGACCCTGTTGAACCTAAACAGCTTTCAGGACGCACGAACAGGGACTGCCTTTGCCGTTGCCTGGGGCAAGGAGGGTACCTTGCAAGCATTGGAGAGGTTGTAGTGGCTCGGAGCTCGACGGTGTAAAACAAAGCAGCTGACCTGAGGTTGGAGAAGGGTGGAGGCTTAAGCTCTTATTAACTTATTTATTCATAGATTAGGTGAGCAATACTGATAACAATAATGACGGTAATGCCACAAATACTTTTGAGGCTTTACGAGTGGATCTGGCACCTGAGTTTGATGAAAGGCAAACAGTGGCTGCTCACCAACGCCCACGTCGTCCGTCATGCTGCGGTGGTGCAAGTGCGCAAGCGCGGAGACCACCAGAAGTTCATCGCAACTGTGCTGCTCGGCGGCCGTCCGTCAAGATGATGTACCTGCCTGTTTTGCGCACAAGTAGCTGATGAAGATCATGAGGAAACATCGCTAACACGGAGAAACTTGAAACGACCGCTCCCCCTACCCGCAGCAAGCAAGGCTTTGCGTTGGTTTAGACTGTGACTTGGCAGTGCTGTCGCCTGGCTGCAAACAACTCCTTATGTGCAGCACACCCTGGAACTGTACAGGTTTCATCAGGTTCCGTATTCCTGAAGTGTTCATCTTCCAGAAGGAGACCTGTAGCAACTTTACTGAGAGTGCTCTCAGAAGGGGTTAGATCCATGCTGTTGTTCTGGACAGTCCGGTCGCTCTGTAGGACGGCACACACTTGCATGTGTACAGAACTTTGTGCCGGGTGCGTCGTCCAGAAACAGCAAAGGCTCGCTGGGTCCTAAACCATCGTGAAAGAGAGGGGTTTGTTGCGCGGAGTGGGAAATTGGGCCGGTGACCGCTCTCTCGGTGCAAGCCATGCTAAGGACAAAGGTTTTTACTGTTGTAACAAGCTGCTTTGTTGCTATTGTCAGATTGTAATCGTCTGTGCATAGTGGATGTGGGCACTCTTGCTGTAGTCTGATTTCGGAAGTTGAATCTAAGGACTGTCAGCAGTGCCAAGTTCTGGGAAGGCCTCCCTCGTGTGGTGTTGACGCATGGCAGCGGCAAGATGTCATGTGCCCCACATATGGCAAGGGTCCAAAACCTGAGCCCTGAACTGCGGTACTGTTTTTGGATGACTTCTTGTGGCTCGGATCCGTTTGTATACAAGCAAAGCACGTAGATTACGAAGCACTGCTGCAATTATGGGGTAGGGTATGTCCCAAACCCCAACGACACTGTTTGTGGGACCAAACTTCGTCTTTCGGTGCCTGCACTTGGCCCACACGACCTTTGTAACGACCCAAAGAAGAGTTCTCATCGAAGTCTCGAAGCCGCCCGAAGACTGAGCCCCCGGAGCTGCAAAGTCGTCCTTTGAGGAGCGTGGAGCTGCCGAAGCTGCAGGACGAGGCCTGGGGCAATCGGTAACATAGAAGCCTGAATAATGAGAACTACTAGTCTGGGGGTTCCTTATAGAACTAGAGTCAAATAATCTAACATACCCCAACACCCTATTCTAATCATTAAGGCTTCTATAGTAGCCCGTGGCACTCATGTGAAAATGAGCATAATTAGCCGCGACACAGACACTGACTCCGGCACCACCCGACACTACTGCGGCTCAGCAGCTGTACAACTTTTTCCCATTCACGAGCCCGCAGGTCACCGTCGTGGGCTACCCTATTGGTGGAGACAATGCTTGCGTTACTGTGGGCGTTGTCAGTAGAATTGACATGCAGAGATACAACGTGCCCCGGCTGCTCTGTTTGCATGAGAAATCCGAGAGCTTCAAAGCAACACCTGCAAAAGAGCCCTGCGATCTATCTACTTAACCTACACTGAAGACCCCGAAAACATCTCCCCGAAAACCTCTACAGGACCTTACGGACTGAACTCGACAAGTGAGCCCTCGCACTTCTAAGGTCCTCCTGGTTCTTTCAGAAGCCCGGACCACAAGCCGAACTAGACTCACTAGACATCAGGTGATAGATACATTTAAAAGAAGTCCCAAGACCCGAAAGCTTGAATTCAACGCTAAACCCGAAGCTGCCCTAAACCTAACCCCTGTGACAACAGCCTAACTCAGGTATGTTGGAGTCGAAGTTTACTCGCTATTCAGATTGATGCGGCCATCAATCCCGGGAACAGCGGGGGTCCCTGCTTTCACGAGGAGTGCAAAGGTGGACTCAGGGCTTTTCCGGCTTACCTCGTACAGGTCAGGGGTTTAGGGTAACCGGGCTCGAGTTAAGGATTTAGGGTTGTGGGCATGAAGATGTAGGCAAGAGATGTCAAAGACTGGCATGCCATTGTCAGACCATTTTGTCTTGGAGAACCAAAGCTTCGACGAAGACCCCGCTAGTGAATGGCAAAATCCAAACCGCAAGTTGTCCCACCGAAAGACTGGCAGGAGAGCGGCTCTGTGGAATGCATCGGCGTAGCCTTCCAGGCAGGGAGTGTTGATCCCTGATTAACACCTTTCTGTCATGTTAGAATTGGGATCTATGTTTAGTAGAACGTTAGCGGCTTTGTTGATCAAGGTTCCCCGGTAGTTGTGAGGCCTATGCTAAAACCACATTGTCACCGCTGAAACTGAGTGCTGCTTTCGCAACCTTGGGAGAAGGGGTCCAGGGGACGGCTGGACATCGTTGAGCCTCATTCGTCTGCTTGGGCTGCACGCCTGGGAGAATGAACGCCTACATCCACAAAGCCCTAAATCCGTGCTCAAGCTGGGGTGGGCCACCGGGAACCAGCTCCTGCGCAGCGTGCCAAACCCAGGACGGGACCTGCGACTGGATGAACCTTCGCTCATGGCCTCTGAATCAAGCCTCATCTATGTCACTGTTGCTGTGGCTCGGGCCATGATCACTGTCGAATACGTGGTGTCTCTCGTTTTCCGCACTGCGACTTCTCTGCGACTTCAATCGCCCGTGCAGGTTCTGGGTCGCGATGATGCCGAGAACATTGGCTACATCATCCCTTCTGAGGCCTCGGATTGCAAGTTTGGAAAGGGCTTTGCAAGGTATAAATGGCTATTCTGGAATCCGTCCGGAGCAGATTTGCAGCAGATCTGAAGATGCTGCAAAGATCGGTGTTGAGACCCAGCAGTCTAAGCTCATGAAGCTCAATTGTCAACAGCAGTGAGCCACTGTGAGCCCTTTCCTCACGCCTAAGTTGAAATCCTTAAAGCCCCAAACAAAATTAGCCAGCCTTAAGCCCTAGGCACGTAATTTTGCAGCTCAACAGGTGGTGAACCATTTCTTAGTGGACTACGTGAAGCACAAGTCCTATACCGGCTTTGGCAGCTGCGGCTTCACAATCCAGGCCCTCGAGAACGGCCCGAGACTTGCTACTGTAGCACACTAAATCACTAAAGCCCTACACGTTTTGGGGTTTCAGGGTTCAGGGGTTTCGGTTTTAGATGGCGCTGGAATTGGCCTGCACGGGATTTAGATTTGGGTTTCGGGGTTTGCAGCATAGGACTTTCGGGGTGCAGTAGGGCGTTAATGTGGAATCTTTGCCTGGTTCGCAGCCCATAAAGCTGGCAGTCAGAAAAGGCTTGATCCACTGCTTTGCTTTCTCTGCCTGCGAATGTGCCTTGAGCCTGTGTCCTGAGTCATAAGTACTGTCTTTCACGTCCCAGATGCCTTTCCGATAAGGATGCGCCATGCTCTCGGCTTGAAGAATGGAGAGACGCTGAGCTTTGATTTGGGACGGGTTTTGGGCCAGACCCCCTCTCAGCGCGGGTTCCGGTCCTGGTTTGAACAATGCGTCTGGCAGGTGATGGCCAGATACACATCCTTCTGCGATTTGGGAAGACTGTCGAAGTTGGAGAGCATTTTCAGTGTATGGGAAGGTGAGCATAGTCTTCTGAACCTTCATAGGTTGTTATTACAGCAGTTAGCAGTAGCTAGCTGTCACGGCATGACAATCATACCTGCTGCAAGGCAACCGCTGTTCAACTCAATCAGCCAGGCTCGATGCTGAAAGCTTTGGTCCCTGAACCGTTCGGTTGTAAGGCCGAAATTGCTGAGGAAGAAGGAAGAAGAAGCATGGGGATGATCATGCTGCTGGTGTCAGCCATGGTGACGATGATAGTTAGGCGACGGTGATCCTAGTGACTTCAATGGAAGCCAACTCCAAGGAGCGGCATCTTAGTTCGCCGAGTGGATCCGTCCTCTTCAGCTGGCAAGGCGATCCAAAAGCAAAAAGTTTTTTTAGCTCCTAATCCGGGTGAAGCGGGTGAAATGGACACCAGAAAACTTGAACATTGTCAGAGGGGCACTCGGCACTGAGAGTGGAACCTTCGGAGACGGAAAAGAGGTTTGGGCTCTGAGGGCAGCGGATTTTAATCCAGCCTGATGTTGGGTTTACAGCTGCGAGTGACTCCGGTGGTAGTGGTAGTCGCTCTAGCAATCTTTCTAACTACGGTGTTTGAGGAGTTGTGCTTGCTGCAGCAGATGTGTTATGACGACCGTGGTCGCCTGCAATTGCTACGGATATCTGCTGTTGCTGACCGTCGCAGTAGTCGTGCAGCATTGTCAGTTGCTACCCCGTGCAAGTTCTTACTTGTTGCTTACGCGGGGTTACCTTGATGGAAGGGGAATGGCTGTAGTCAGTCTGTAGTAGACCGGCAGCATCGTGGTGAATGCCGCAACTTGTACCGTCACCCCATGGGCAAACCCTAAGCTGACCAGATAGGTGTTCGACGGACGGAGCAAGCTACAGTGCCTGGCAGGCTACTCGTCCTCTGTGGCCCCTATCCAGCAAACCAGTTTATCGAGAACACCTCCCAACGGCCCAGGGTGAAGCCTCCTAATCGATGTAGGTGCTCAAGAAGGGCGACATTATCCGCAAAGTCCAGGGCCAAGACATCGGCGACGATGGGAAAGTGCCTTTTCGAGGTGCACGCAATGAGAGGACAGTGCCATACGAATGTCTGGACATGTCGTGCTCGTGTGACTCCTCATGCAGGATCCGGTTAACAAGCCCACCCCTCAGAGAACCTTCAATTAACCTAAGCCCTAAACTCTTGCTTCTATTGTCCGAGTTGTGAGAGCGTAAACTCTTGCTTCTAAACGTCGGAAGCCAAACTCCAACTAGCCTTTAGAGATACACTATTGAACACTATTGCAGGAATCAAGGCCCCTGTATTCCCCTTAGAAACCCTATTGTGATCATCCAGGCCCCGATGTTTCCCTTGCCTGCTATCCTGGGTGGATGTCCATTCACTGATCACAGCCCCGGCTGTCACTAAGCGCGAAAGCGATGACGCTGAACCCTCGACCCCCAGTATTCCAAAATCCTACGATATACTCCATCGCACGATAAGATACTAGAGCGAGCTATGCCGCTATGCGGTAACATACAACAAATATATAGGAACCAGATTAAGAAACCTTGGGCCTTCATTAGGGTTCTTAATATTAAGCCTAATATATTGGGTTATAGGGCCAAGGTGAAACTGTCTTGGTTCGCGCTCCAGGATTGATTTCCATTACCTCATCTCAAAGCTTTTCATCGGCGACACCTGCAGTTTCCAGGTGCTGCGGGACAAGCACCTGCACCTCGGCGACCCCTCAATTGCCCCAATGCGATATTGTTTAAAGATCGGAGAGAACAGTAGGCAAAATACAGAAATAGCACACAAGTAAGCATCATCTACCTGCTTTGCGGTAGTCGTCAGACGCTGCCACGCGGGAGCCAAAAAATCGTCGTCATCATTGGTAGCAGTAGTAATGGCCAGAAGAACCGTAAGGATTGTAATAAGTAAGATAATGCTAGCAGGGAACCACTCAGCAGTTAAGAAAGCGAAGAGAAGAGGTCCCGGTGAGATTCTCTGCTTTTGCTCTTCAGAACCAGGCAAACAAGTTTTGTGCAGTTCCCGGATTTCCCGTCATGCAAGTCATGAATCTCCCGAAGCCCGCAGGTTATGAATCCCGCGAAGCCCCTTGATGTCGCATGACTTTTTTTTTGTTTTCTCTCTCTCTCTCTCTCTCTCTCTGTCTCTCTCGGCGAACCGCGATCCCACTACCGCTTGAATCACTTGGGCAAGTAAGGCCTGCCCGGGGTGCTGCCCAAGGGTAAGTGTTCAACTCAGCAAACCCTACGAAGCACCGAGAGTTCTCAGATGGAAGACTCGATCGTGGGATGATCACGTAGGCCAGACAGGCCGCGCAACCTGAGACTGAGATTGGAGAATGAGGCAGCGAGGAGCAGGGAGACTACAGAGATCAACTGGGGCAATAAATTTAGGAATGACTTTGACATGTGTTTGTCTCAAGCGCACTCCATGTGAGACCGGTGTGTTTGGTGTTTGGCTCGTCGGCAAGAAACCGGGGGGGGGGAAGCCCTTGGGCCTTCACCTCCTTTCAACCTCCTAACCTATATACTACATGTTATATACTCATACTGTATATAATATACCATATTTACTATATACTATATACTATATACTATAGACAAAACCAGGCCCCCAAAGTTACCGAGGCTGGAGCTTCGCATGAAGCTCTCGGCCGTTCGGCCCCTGGTTCTCCATGATCCACCAGATCCCCCGAAGTACTTCGTGGTTGGGGGCCTCGTCTTCGTGCCCTTGTCCGAGCCCTTCTTGATGGATGATTTCGGCCCCTTGGAGCGAACCCTCGGAGGGCTTTGGGTGTTGGATTTTGTTAGGTTAAAGGAGTTCCTGGAGCTGTGAAGTCATGCGACTGCGTGATGCTGCCTCCTTGGCCTGGCAGCATTGTACCCACCACAAGCGTGATGCTTTTGACCGGCATGAAAGAACTAACATTTTGGCAGTGATGTCTGTGAGTCTTTTCAGTATTCCGCCATCACATCATCACTTTGCATAGTTGGCCATGTTTTTTTCACATTTGCACTGGGAGCAAGTTCATCCGGCATGACTGCGGCATCTGCTTCTTTAACTATCTTGTTCGTTCTCAGTTCTCGGTGTTACTTTTTAAGCTTGGTATCGATGGCAACTACGATTTTGAAAGCATCACCTTGAATATCCGCACTCATAGCACCAATGACAGTAGCACCAACACCATAGCAATAGCATTAACAAGAAAAGAAACCGTCCAGAAGCTACTGCTGCTGCTGCTGCTGTTGTTCCAGCTGCCACTGCTGCCGCTTCTGCTACTGGAAGGCAGATATTTGGCAAATGCCTCTAGGACCCTAGGAATGTTACCTACGACGACAACTGCTGCTGCTATGGCGACTGCTACGGCTGGAGCAAACAAGTGCGAGAGAGCGAGTGAGCAGAGGGTCCAATCCGGAGGTGCCGACTTTCACAAACAAGCGCCGATTGGGATGAGCCTTGCCTTGAGATGCATGAGCTTTGTTTGCTCTCGTCCTCTGCTACGCCCAATCACTTTCTATTGTTGTCCTTCAGCAGACGAGCAACGATCATAGTCAGCACAAGCTGCCTTCGTGTTCCTTGGTCTCATCTTCGAAATAGGACATGCCCGAACGCAGTCATGATGGTGAATCGGCGCGTAATTTCATCGACATTTCTGCAGGCCGCTGGTGCAGATCTGTGCCAAACCAGTACTCCCTTGGTCTGGTTCTCGTATTGGCATGAAGCTACCCGCTCAGGCTGCAAAATTGGCATTTTGTGCCCGAGCACAGCAGGCAAAAACCCTTGTTCTTTCTTCTGCAGCCTGGGAGCACAGAGGATCTATCACTGGGCCGAGGGCATGCGCCAGTTTGCTGACCACGAGACCCTTGCCTAGTTTGGGACTGGCGAGTTGGCGCGTCGCCCTGATGATGCAGGTTGTGCAGTAACAAAAGGGCTTGGAGGTTTTAGGTTGAGCTGGCGGAGGCACTTCGTATCTCTAGAAATAATCACTTCAACTCCATGTCCTATCTGTCGCATAGACATTGGGCAGAGAGCAAAGGATCATCGTGCTGTCGCAAGTGCTGGCATCGCCCCTCACCGTCGGCTTCACGGCGACATTGGTCGCACTGTATGCCGGGCCTTTGGGCTAAGTCCTGCACCCACAGTTCCTGCCCTAGCTCCATCCTGGATCGTGAGAGTTTCAACTGCCGAAGTGCAACTGTCCGACAAGAACCCCTGTTGCTTTGAAGAGCATGGTATGAAAATGTAGTAAGGTATGGTCTTGTACTTATGGTATAGTATAGGGCTCGGTACGATTGACGAAGCATGAGCTTCGGAGCTTGGAGTTCAGGATTTCTACAACGTCACGCTGCTGAAGTTCAATGGCCAGCAGCCCAAGAACTTGGAAGACCTCATCCACCTTGTGAAAGCCTCCAAGGCAGGACGATCCTGCACTACACCATTACTACACTGTTCTACTCGTATTTACCAAATATTACGGGTTATATACTGTCTGCCCCACTGTATACTAGAAACTATATATACTATGTGCCTTATATTAGTCCCCACATCCAGCACTGAATCATTCTGGCACTATCAGTTACACGACGTCATAGATGTTATAACATATATGCCTAATCAAATATGTCCCAACATCCAAACCCACGAATATTTTTCAGAGGCCTCGGTAAACCTAGCGAGTTACACATTGTATACTACATACTATACGCTATTACCGGCGCAGGCGACTTAGACTTGGCAATTTCTGAAGATTCCCTGAGGCCTCATCCCCGAACCGGGTGCGATGCCCTTTTAAGCTCCGTCCAGAAGTAACTTTTGCCCCGCAAACGCCGACCCAAGTCCCAGACAGATCGGAGTTAGGGAGAAACGGAAACCCGAGCCTTTATTCAGGATGAGTACCTGACCTTCGAGATAGAGCGGAACAACTCCATCATCCTTCCAAGGAAAGGGCTAGGGGGTTTGTTTCGGGTTTAGGGAGCGACTTCTTCATCAGTCATCAGTCTCGCGGAAAGGGTTTAGGGCTTAGGGGGTTAGGATCGGGGTCTTCGGATTCGGGAGCAACTGCATCATCTGTCCGAGGAAAGAGGCCTTGAAGCAGACGGCCAACATCCTGAAAGAAGCTCTGCTACGATTCAGAAGACGTGACTCTGCAGGCCTTGAAGTATGACACCGGGCTCTTCAAGGGCCCTTTGAAACAGAAGCCCAGGCGCAGGAGCTGAAGCCGCAGGCCGCCGCAGGCCTTAGGCTCTGTGATTCGTGATGCGAAGGCAGAGGCATGAAACATGTATTACAGGGGCCATAGTAGGGGTTAGGGGTATATCATACAAGAATCCTTGGGGAAGGATGCTGGTATGTTGCTCAACTGATCCGGATCTTACTTGCCTTTTCAATGCTCGATTAGATGAAAAGTGATCAGGAACAGAATCACCCCGCGTCCTGAGGGTGGCTTTTGGCCTTGGGGTGTAAGGTTTATGGCCACCACCTCCGTGCCTCTCTTAATCTGTGGGGCTGGGAGCCGGGCCAAGGAGAACATGATTCCCCACGACCGCTTTGCATCTTCATTGCAAGCAGACCTATGCCATTGCTTCAAGCATGTTCTTTGCGGCATGCTGCTCTTTCGAACTTGGCAAGTTTAGTCGGGTGCTCCGGCATCCTGTGCTGTGCAGGTTCACTACAGGCGCAGCTAGGTCGGGAATCTGCCCGGACGGCCAGAGAAGCTGTGTCTCCGCGGGAAATCCCATGCCAATCGCCGGCATCCCAGGGCGCCCTGTGAAGGCCATCTCAAGCAGGGACACCGAGAAGGAAGGCCACCTGAGGCCTTCCAGCATGTGAAGCGGAGGAAAAAGGGTTGCAAGAGATAGCTTTCATTGTCATGCCGCAGAGGTGATGGCCTTGTTGTTGGTTGTTTTGTTTGTTGTGCATGAGGCTGTGGCCACTGCAAGCCAGCTGGACGAGAAGAAGCTGGTCACCAGTGGACCCTGGCCCGCAGCCCCAGGCCCTAGAGTTGTTGGAAGATCCTGAAACCGAAAAAGCCGTGGGCTTCGCCCGTAGAATCGACTGATTGACGGCCTGGCGACGCTGTTCTGCAGGGGACCAAGAAAGGCAACGAAGCCCGAAGTAAATCTTCATGCCCCCTACACCTTTTGAAGCCAATTTGGTCGAGTTAAGACTGGAAATTACAATGACTCCGCTTGCATCAAGCCTTCCATCGCCAAGGACCGGACTCTTACCAAGAGCCGCTCGGCGGCTGTCCATGGAGTTCCGATGATCAAACATACTTGAGCTCTGGTGTGACCATCGGCAAGAAGCAGTCAAGAACAGCGTGGGCTTTTGACAGCTGAGGCGACGTGGATGCCAGCGATGCATCTTGCCACCATCGGATCCGAAGCGTCACTTGCTTCAACTCAGCATTAGCCGCCGGGTCTTGTAGCATCGAAGGACAGCAGTAGTATGGGACAGCGTACCAACTGCATGGGCTCCTTGGAGCAGGAGAGGTGTTCAGGGCACAAGGCATCGGAAGCAGCAGACTTGTCAAATCACAGCTGCAATAAGATCAGACATACAATTACAGCGTGAGAAGCAGCGGTGGTGGTGGTGGTGGTGGTGGCGGTGGTGGTGGTGGTGGCGGCGGCGGCAGTAGTGGTGGCAGCAGTCGCTGCAGTAGCAGTAGCAGTAGCAGCAGAAGCAGTAGTTGTCACTGTTGTCGCAGCAGTCGTAGTCGTATTTGCCCTTAGTACTTCCAGCACCACCGCCGCCATCCTGCTGCTGCTGCTGCGCCTGTTCCTGCTGATGCTGCTCTAGCTACTGCTGCTGCTGTCGCTGCTCCTGCCGCTGTTGCCACCACTAGTGCTGGCAAGCTGTGAAAGCGAGAATGGTCATGCCGTTCACGGTGGCATTTGTGTAAACCTCCCATGGTTACGGTGAACCTACGACCTCCGAAATTCTCGGCGGGGCGTGTGCTTGCACCATCCTGCGGATTGAACAATTGTTGCAATGTTCCCAGATTGCTCTCGTCATGATGGTCGTCCAGATCTGCACCAGCCTTCGTTGTTCAGGGGTTTTCAGCTCGGGGTCGTTGTAGCGCAGAGGGTTCGGGAGCTTCTGGTCTTCGGCCCCGCTTCGAAATCTAGAATCCAAAGCTTTCAACAGTTTTCGAAGCCAGAAAAACCCTCCAAAGCCCCAGCCGTGCAGGCATGGCCTGGGATTTGATGGGAATGGCGGCTTGGCTTCGGAGCTAAAGCTGTGTAAGAAGCGATCCCAGCATCTCCGTGGATGTCGCGAGCAAGCAGCACCCAGCAGTGGATGTCAAGAAGAAGAACAGTCACATGTGCTCTCGGGCTTGGAGGTTCGTCGGAATCAGATCGAAGAGATTCTCACGGTTTTGTGGTAGTGTTGAATCTGGAGACCGGGGATTTCAGTCAGTTTGGTCGGAAGTGTCCCGATCAGCCCCTTTCTTGCAAGCCCAGTCGTCTTGACCTGCCTGACAAGGTACTGCTCCTTTACGTCCCTCCCTCAGGGAGGGGAGAAGGGTGGGTATGACATCGGTGGCCATGTTGAAGATTTTCCGCGGCCCTAGCTGCGAGTAACTGCAAACAAGAATGGTGCTATGCTGCAGTCGCGATTATCCCCATCCGTTGCTGTGTCACTATTCCACTGAGGATATGATTGCGATACCCATCTCTGCTTTCGACCCCGGCTCCAGCTTGCCCTGGCCCAAGCACAGACTATGCTCACAGTAGCCACTTCAAAACGGAGAGTTGCTTTGGCTCTCTATATACTTGCCAGGTTTACCGACATCATGGAATGGACGACGCAGATCTTCTGGACTTTCGACATCCTCATGCCACAGCCTGAGCTGGGAGCAGGAGTGTACCGGTCGCTGCCCTGCTTGCACCAGCCGTTACAAGAGCAGGTCCCTCGTCACTGGATACGTCTCCAAGGGGCAAATCGCAGCTGAGACGCACCTTAAAGCAGCCAAGCCAGCAATCACCAAGTGTAGATGCAAATGGGCTGATGACAATGAAGAAGTTAATGAAGAACGACAGATCTTTCCCCCGGCGATCCCGCGCAGACTGGCCGTCATCGATGTCGGAGAATCGTAGAAGGGTGGGCTCCTACAAACTCGGACTCTTCCTATGTCTAATGGAGTAGCCGGACAAGTAGCGAATCAAGTAATTACAAGGGATGTTTTCATGTTTCCTCATACTTATAATCAGTATACTTTAACGATGATGATGATGATTTCCCTTTGTAGTTTGGAATATCAGTTTGGTAATATCATATCTGTCAAGCTCCCCTATTACTTCCTGCAGAATCCGTCGAGACTGCCATGCGGGAGCCAAAGATTACCTCCTGTCTCGCTCTGGGAGTTTGGTCCGAGGTCATGTCACCGTTTCCTATTTTCATTCACTATCTGAGCCTCGACCGCATTCAAGGGCTCTTGCTTTAGGCTGTGGGGTTTGGGGTTCAAAAGCTTTTTTTTCGCCGGGTGCCGGCAGCGCCATGGGACTGGGTTTGGGGCTTCGCGCCTGCCGGCTGAAGAGCTGCATGGTGGGGAAGGCAACGGCAGGTTTTGTTGGTTGGAGGTTGGGCGCCCGGGCCAGGAATTCCAACCGTTCTTGGAGTTGTTTTCGAGCCTGCGCCTGTATCGTTATGGGATTGCATTGCGAGGAAGACATGGTTCGTGTGCCTCGGATGCAAGATGGTCTGTCCATAGATCCACTGCAGCACTCAGCTTGTTTCAAGTTGGTCTTGCTCAGCTTCGACCTGAATTTCTCGACCTTGTTCGAAGCATCATTCAGTCGAGGCTTGATGTCATCGTGGTTGGTCCAGATTGGCGCCTGAGATGCATGGGGTTTGAGAAGGTTCAATCCCCGCGCCAGCTTATTGTTGCTAAGCCACCCTTTTGCGCGTCGCGCACAAGCGGAGTCGGCACTCGTTAAAAGTCGAAAAACACGAAGAGTCGAACACGAAAAACGCAAGAGAACGCGAAACCCGATACTATACTATTACTTCTGTTACGCTTATTATTACTATTGCTACTACTATAAATTACTAGGTGGGTGACAAAACTATTAAATACCATTGCTATTCTTGCTACCAGTACTATTACTACTACTATTACTGTACTACTATAATTATAGCTACTACTGTTGATTTTTCGCAGTTTTCACGAGTTTCGCGTTGTTTCTGCATTTTTCGCAAGTATAAGTAGAAAATCAGTATAGAACTAGTATTGTTAGCTATCAGTATTACTATCACTGTTAACAGTAAAGCCGCGTTTCGTTTCGGTTCGTTTCGGTTTCTCGGATGGGTTTTGACTCGGTTTCGGTTCGCGCGGTTCAGTGCGGTTCTTCTTGCTGTTCGGTTCGGTTCGGTTCAGAAAACCCATCCCTCCATCCATTCCAGACCCCGCTCCATCCAACCCTCCGTCCACCAGCCCTCCTCAACCCTCCATCCAGCCCTCCAGCCACAGCCCTCCCAAATTCTCCAAATCAGTATTACTATCACTGTTATTAACAGTTAACATTTTCAGCATTCTGAAATTTTACCGCATTATTACCATTACTATTACTATTGCTATCATGAATACCGAGACTATACTATTATTATTACCACTACTATTACTATGACTATTATTATGAACTACTTGCTGTTACTGTTACTTTACTATTATTGGTATTGTTTGCTATTGCTCTTGCTCGTATAGCTACCATTCCCAACACTATTACTATTACGATTATGATCATTTTTATTGCTACTTCTATTAATCTTACAAGTACTTTTACTTTTACTATTGTTGGCATTGTTTGCTATAATTTGTTATGATTATTGCTAGTACTACTATTACCATTACCATTACGAATGCTATTGCAATTACGATTTCTAATGCTATCGTTATGGCTATGGCTATCACCACTATGGTTATAACTGATAAAATTACTATTTTGCTATTGTTATTACTAGTAGAGTTATTATTACTGCTTTGTTTTACTGTTTTTTGATTATCATTATGATTGTTTTTTATTATTGATTATTATGGATGTGATGAGTATTATTACCATAACAATAATAATTATTATGATTATTGCTACTACTAGTTATTGGTATTATTGTTTGCTTTCTTATTGTTACTCTTACTATTACGATTACCAATATTATTGCTAT